TACATTAAAAGATCACTTGCATTTTTTCCATATCAAAGAGCAAACGAGCGGCAAGTGCGGTTCACCTGTTTTCGTTGCCTGTTCACACATGTGTGCCTTACGCGGCCGCAAGCCCACCGTCGCCCAAATTTCTGTTTCATGACAAACCCTTGATCGGCTCATTCGCACACATTTTTGTGTGTGTGTGTGTGTCTGTGTGTAGAGCTCGAAATTTAGAAATGCCAAAAACTTCAAATTTGGTCAAGTTTGCATCGGGCAGGCAACCAACACGCACACAAACGCATAAATGCTTCCATCCATATAGAAAAGTGTGTAAGTGTGTGTGCTTGGCAGGCCCAAAGAGTTATTATGCACACATGCCAACGTTCAGGTACCCTTACCCTTACACCATGCATGGAAAATAGGAGTTTTGCACATGAACAGGCCAAACCCTTTAATAATGTCACCCAACTGCTTACTCGAAAGAGTGTGCGTGTGCACAAGTAGCAAGTCGAAAAAATTGAACATTTTCAATGTTTGGTCTTTTCTTAAATTATTCGACAAGCCGACGAAGAATTACCCTTGCAGAAATACGACTTAGTTTTTTTTTTAATTTTAAGCAAAATTGGTCCCCACAGTTAACCAAAAATATTAAAATATAATATATAAATATATCATTTAGGTCATTTAAGTTTTTAATGAATATAAATATATCAGATTCTTCTCATTATGCCTGACTGGACGAAGAAATACATGATAGAGCATTTGAATGTGTGTGCCTTTTGCCACCACAGGCACAAAGGGCACACAATTGAAGAAAAAATCTCTGGCTCGCGACAAACGCCGCGATCTAGTTGTGCGCACATCCACACAACACAAACATATGTATGTTTGTAGATCTCGGGGTTTTTGAGAAGCTATGCAGGGAGAAGGAGATGCACAAGTGCGCAAATCAATAAGTGAGAGCGAGGCACACTCTGCACATGCATACACACATGTATGTTTTTGGGATGTAAGGAATTAAAAACTAACATACATATATTATGAAACAGCATCAGCCGCAGCAATGTTGTGCGTTGAGCGAGATGCGGCTTCATACTGAACGTTCGGCTGTCGAGGCCGGCGTTCGGCTGCCACTCTCAGCAGTCTTACTTTGTCTGGGCACACTAAAATGGTCGCGGACACCCATGGGGCTCAGTCGTTGACGATTTATCGGTATCCGATTATTCCGACGTTTGACAAGTCTATGCATTGTATGGTTAGTGATCCATTGCTGCACCCATGGTTGCTGCGACTGTGACATCTGCTGTGGATGCAACCATGGCTGATGCGGCTGTGGCATTTGATGTGGCTCCTGTGGCCGTGGAGCCTGTGGCATCTGCGGCGCTTGTGTCGCCTTTAGACCTGCGACCTCAGCCGTAAGTCGCTGAATCTGTGCGTCCGTTTTTTTTACTTTTGTGTTTAGAGCCCTTATAAGGCTTTGCTGCTGGTCGCTCTTATTTTTTAACGCAGCATTACTTTTAGTTTTGGGTTGGCGAGGCTTAATAAGCCAAGTCCTCTGTCATATTCAATAGGCGTGCAAACGCATCCCATGCCTTTTTTTGGTGGCTAGTAGTTTCCATTTCTCAATTCAAAATGAGGACACCCAATTTCAAATATTGCCACCTTTTTTTGTTAAGCACCGTTATAACAAAAAAATTGCCACCACTTGGTAGAAATATGTTCAAATATGTGAGTAATAGGAAAATGAAAATTTTAATGAAATAAAAGGCAAAATTAATGATAAATCGTGCTCTATATGCACAACTACCGTGCATTTGAGGCCATTATCGGAGAAATTGAAGAATATAGGTTGAAATATTGACGCCATTTTGCATTATGAAATATAATATTGCCAGCTGGTTTTTTTGCATTAACATAGGGAAGAATGAGAAAAATACAAAAATAAGAATTTTTTAAATCTGTACTGACGATTTTAATGAAATAAAAGACAAAATGATTGATAAATCGTGCTCTATATGCACAACTACCGTGCTTTTGAGGCCATTATCGGAGAAATTGAAGAATATAGGTTGAAATAGTGTCGCCATTTTACATTATGAAATATAATGTTGCCAGCTTGTTTTTATGCATTAACATAGGATGTTATGTGAGAAATAGGAAAATGAAAATTTTAATGAAATAAAAGGCAAAATGAATGATAAATCGTGCTCTATATGCACGACCACCGCGCATTTTAGGCCTTTTCGGAGAACTTGAAGAATATAGGTTAAAATAGTGTCGCCATTTTACATTATGAAATATAATATTGCCAGCTAGTTTTTTTGCATTAACATAGGGAATAATGAGAAAAAGACAAAAATGAGAATTTCTTAAAATCTGTACTGACGATTTTAATGAAATAAAATGCAAAATGATTAATAAATCGTGCTCTATATGCACAACTACCGTGCATTTGAGGCCTTTATCGGAGAAATTGAAGAATATAGGTTGAAATATTGACGCCATTTGACTTTATTAAATATAATATTGCCAGCTTGTTTTTATGCATTAACATAGGATGTAATGAGAAAAATAGAAAAATGCAATTTTACTATAAACTGCAATTTTAAGTATGACTGAATACTTCTCATATAATTTGCTTTACCTCATTATTTTAATTATTTATGAGTCCTTTCCATTTTTTCATGAATACATATAATTCGAATTGATTTATTCCCGCCCAATACTTTATAGAATTGTTCAACACTGTATTCAAGCTGTGGTTCAGTTCGCGTTGGAACTAGCAGTTCGATAAGCTTAATGAATGAACTATAAGAGGTTGGTTTACAATTAAATTATTTTCTCAAAATCTGTACCGTCCATTTGCTTAAAATTAGTGCCAAAAGCTTCTTAAAATATGTATCTACAAAAATGTATAGCGTGCATTGAGGGCCATTGTCCTTGAGTTAAGAAATTAGGGCAAAAACAAGGTTGATTTTTTGAGGTAATTTTGGTAGGTAGTTGCTGCACTCTTTACCAAATATGTAAAAAACGGTACCGATGATTCTCATAAATTGTTCACAGTTGGCTAGGTGAAACTATAGGCTTTAATCGTGTATTTGCGGTTTTCGAGGCCATTATCCCTGAATTAAGATATATAGAGAATGGTGGAAACCTAATTTTTCAAAGCCTTAGTATACGCATATTATAAATTAAAATTCCAAAACAAATGAATGTAGACAGTAAATAATTTAATATTTTGCAATTCTGCATTTAAATTTATTGGGTTTTGTGCTTAAAAACATTAATAAATGCATTTAAAAGTGACCGATTCCTTTTCCGATACCAAGCACCAAATGTCGACGCTAAGTCACCGCCGCTAATTTGACGCGTCGAGAAACTTCAAAAAGTGTTCCAACTACAGTGGCATCAATTTCTACTTCCAATCAGCATTTTCAGTTGACTAAGATATAACAATATGAACTGTGCAGAATGCGGTACTAGCTGCGCAGTTTATGTGACAGTTTAATCACGCAGTAAACACTTCCATTGCGATGATTTGTCCAACATTTCCTGACTCTAGGAAGGAACAAAGCAGCCTCATGAGACCAAGCATCTTTTTCCACTGCAGAACACTTATTTTAATATAAATATTATGTCAGCATTGTCTACTCACATTATTAATTATGAGCTGGCCGGCTTTAGGCCACGGTTGGTCATACTGACTAACAACAAAAAGTGATTAGCATCAAGAGTTACCGGCTATCGTCAGTTTTATCAAAACTAAGAGCAACACCTTTTCTATTTAGTGAATGTAGACTAAAAATATGAACTATTGGCCACAAGTTGTCGATAAATAGCGATTCTCTTTAGTTAGCATTGTGTATTCTGCTGGGGTAAACTTACAAGTTTAGGCTTTTTTCCATATATAATATAACTCTCAAGTGTTTATTTATTCGGATTTGTAAATTAAGAGTTGGTAACAATGTCTGCTGATTATAAAAAGGTCACTCTTAGTGTTTATTGCTGCTCGAACAAGGAATTCAATTTTTTGTAAACTATGAACCAAACCAGTTTCACACAATAGACACCAACGTTACAAGCACAATACCTTGCAGTCCACTGCTTTTTTGCTGTTACCCAAAATTCAAAGACATTTATTGGTTGGACTATATACCAACGCACATGTACTGTGTTCATGCGCACAAACGCATACCAACAATATATTTGGATTGCGCTTGACAACCCAAAGCTCAGCCCAGAAACTCCAGAATATATCTAATAAATCAACAATAATTAATTATTGAAACTATCCTTGCTATACCTTTTCCTTTGGACTACAGCCTATCATCTAAGCAACTGCACTCTTCAAACTTATTGTTTTTTCTTGTGATTCTTCAACACTCGCTTCCAACTTGTAGGCAATCCGGCAGATTTATACAAAATTGTTTAGTTTTAATGACACTATTAATAAATTAAACAACTCAAGAAATAAAATCCTATTAATTGTGACGTCATAATTTATGGTGCTGACGCGCCGTGTGCGTAAACCTTTTTTCGCGGGGATTCGGCTCTGCAACAACAACATTAGTAAATATTTTGTTTTTTATGTTTCTACGCACTGCGTTGTAAGAACGACAGCTAAACCAGTAACAAACACTGTGGCATTATTTGTCCCCTTTCTTTACACTTAGTTTCGTATGTTATCAACATCTTTTTGAAACATCCAGGCGATAAAGGCGGACGAAGAAAACAAAACGTGGTTTCATGCGCACTGTAGTGGTTTTGTAGGTGATGTGATGTCACTTCCTGTGATTAATCTGCTAGAGTTCTTGTGTTTGATTTTGCGTTTGCAGACCAACCTAATGTTTAAAAGACAAAGTACAAAACGTCTTCGGGTCTTGGCTATTTCTGTAGGTGTAATAACGCATGACGTGATTTTGGATGTGGTTGCAAACGCAGTGCCCGAAAACACGTATTATTAGCGTGTTACCGTGCAATGATATATCGATGTTCGAGAAACATCGATCTATCGCACAATTGTGATACCTTCGATTCCAACATCGATGTTTTTGCAGCGCGCCCATTTTGTGAGCGTCTGGAATCTTTTTATACCTCTTCAACCAGACGTCGCTGGGCTGTATTAATTACGCATGTGAGTAACGAAGAATATGCTATTTACTTTACTTTAAAACAGCGAAGAAAAAGACGAACATAATATTTTTTTTCGATTTTACAGACAACCGACGCCGTTTTGACGTTCCCCTTCGTTTATGTTCATATTTTTTTGTTTTGTGTAAAATTGGCTAAAAATGGAATTACGTGTCTGGAAAACCATTCTATTACAGTGGGTAAGTTTTTATAGCTTAGCCTACGATCGGTATTAAGTAAGAGTAATATATATTAACATTTTTATTCTAAATGACTTCCAGGTGCAAAAATGCAATTTCATAGAAAATATTACATGTCTAGAAAATTCCGATATAGAGGCTTTCTTTGCCTTTTATGCACAGTATGCTCAAGTTAAGCTACCGGCGTCGCCTTCAAGTGTCGCATTTCCGCTGGGACTACTGCAAACTTTTCTTAGAGGTGCATAGGCATTTTAAAACTATCCTTTTTTTTTTATTGAAATCATATTTTTTGCAGATAACTATCCAAACTTTGAGCCGCGTTTGGAACTTGATGGCCGTATAGTAGCAGCAGATTACATATATGTGTACACACTTCTAATGCACTACACCTGCGTTCAGAGTCCTAGCGAATATTTTCAAAATATTTGCACAAATTTACCATACAATATCCAGCAGTACATAGCTGAATTTTTCCAACAGACTATAAAAAATCCACAGATGACTCGCAATCATTTGCACAAGACCATTGCCAGAATTCCCGTGTCCGTCCAAAAGAAAAGTGATGGAAGTAACTCTCTAATAGACAGCAACACAATGGACTCGGCTTCACTCGATGATGATGCGAGTGCGAGTCCGAATCCTGTGTTGCTAACGCCTGTGAAGCGGGAGCTGATTAACTTACCAAGTGTCAGTCAAATGCCAGCTCCGCCCACCCCTAAAACTGAGCTCCTCGAACAGTGTACGCGTGAGCTGTTGGGATTACGTGTAAGAGGCTTTGTAAAGGTGTACAAAATCCATATTAATACCATTCAATTAACTAACAGGCTCAGTTGGAAACCGAGCGGTATGAAAAGACGGTTCTAGAGGAACAAATTTCAGAAAATGAACATCTGATAGATTCGCTCACTAAAGGTATTAATTTTGAAAATATTTATTTTTAAATTTAAGCAATAACTTTCATTAAATTTTTTGTTTACAAAGAGAATGTAGTGAAAAAGAAGCAACTGACTAAATTTACGGCCACCCTTCAGGGCGGAAACGACAATGAGAACACTTACATGCATAGCTATGTACCCAATGAATTTGAAAATGTATGTAATATGCTTACTTAGAGGTTTAAGGCAGCAGGCAGCCTCCCTAAACCATATATTAATGTTTCTTCACATCTACCTGAATTACAGTTAAAAAAACAACTGCTCAAAAAGCTTAGCAACAAGGATACTGTCCTTGCAGAAAAAAACGAACAGATGCATGAGCTGATAAGCAAACATGGCAAGCTGGCTACCAAGGTACGTACGAAAACCGCTAAACTGGCTTCTTGAAAAAAAAACCAAATAAATATATGATGTAAAGTGGGTGACCAAAATATACCCTATAAAGCAGCATAATGCGCTCTTATCTTTAAGTCGTGGGAACGAAGTATCCAAAATTCAAATATTTTAAATCTGTATACTTAACGAGAATTCATCTAAATATCACATTTAGTGACCCTTTTCTAATTCAAATCTAGCTTATTTATTTTGAAGACGCGTTCATCCAGAATGGCATGGTTAGATAGATTTAGCTGATCAAGAATATACACATATAAGTTATAGGGTCCAAGATGCTTCCATCTGTTTATACCCTAAACTCATAGAAAATGGAGAAAAACTGTATGATGTTTTTGTCCAAATGTATTTATATTCAAGACTGTTTGGGATGCTTTGAATTACCGAGGATTTCCGAATGAAAGTATTGTATATTTTCAAATTATATTTTATCGTTTATTACATACTATCGCTTCCCGTTTGTCTTCCTGTGTTTTGTTTAAACTGGTAAAATATTCACCAAGCATCTAAGCAATTGCGCGCTCCACTTTGTCACTCCTGAGTATCCGTATCAATTTTTAATTTAACAAAGTAATAATAAAACACAATTAGCCTCTCCATTTTCGCAATGTCGCCCGGGTCAAATAGATAAATTATGTTGAAAAGTGGTATCTAAATTTGTTGTATAATTCACACCAATAAACAAATATACAAAGCCGCTCTATTGGCCACCACGCATTAACAAAACACCCCCTCCTACCCACATTAGGTAATAATCCATTTCAAATAAAATTATAAAAATCAAAACTATCTTGACCACTGAAATCTTACCATGGTTCTTCTTCTGTCTGTTTAGGAGGTAATTTGTGGTCAAATTAACAATCTAAGTAAACGCTGGCTAAGAAGCATATTGCTGCTCTCATTTCTCATATTAATTTGTATAACCTTATAGAGGGTATTATAAATTTCTCATGAAATGTGTAACGCATAGAAGAAGACATCTTCGACCCCATAAAGTATATATATTCTAGATCAGTATCCACAACCGGTTTTATATAGCCATGCCCGTCTGTCCGTCCGTTCGTATCTATGAACGCAGGGATCTCAGAACCTATAAAAGCTAGAGGTTGAAATTTGGAACGTAGGTCCTCCTAGTGCCCGCGCAGTACGAGTTTCCGATAATCGATAGCTTGTCCCATCTCCAAGTAATCGATAAAAAATTATATCGAAATCCTGTTTTTTGAGCAAATCCCTTAGGTTTTAAGAGCTAGAGTAACAAAATTTGACATGTATTTGAATAGTATACATATATCTAGTATCTTTCATTTTATAACAGTCGCCATAGCTATGAACCCAATAAATACACAAATTTGAACTAACCACCAATTTAAGCCACAATTTAAATTCAATTGTCTTTTTGAGAATATACGATTATAGTATAACACAATAAGATCTACTATTGAAAATTCAGGATCGGTTAGGAAAAACAGAAGTTATTAAAGAAAACGTGTTTGCGCCAGCTAACGCAAATTGCAAGAATTTATGTATACATGTACACACACTTTCATGCGCGTCTTTTTCTCCGACCCCATAAAGTATATATATTCTTGATCAGCATCAATAGCCGAGTCGATCTAGCCATGTCCGTCTGTCTGTCCATCCGTCCGTCAGTATGTATGAACGCAAGGATCTCAGAACCTATAAGAGCTAGAGTCTTGAAAGCTTAGCTGTAGTTCCTCCTAGTCCCCGTGCAGATCGAGTTTGTTTCCTATAGCCGACAACTTGCCCCGTTTCCAAGTAATCGATAAAAATCGATATCGAAATCATGTTTTTTGAGCAATTTTGCTAAATAATAAGAGCTAAAGTCACAAAACTTGACATGTAGCTTCTAGAATAGTATATATATATCAAGTATCTTTCATAGCTATCGTACCTTTCATAGGTAGCTATCGCCACCTCCCCGCTACCACCATAAAGCTATAAATCCTGTTAGTAAACCAACTTGTATCGCCTAACTAATTAAGCCACAATTTAAATGCAATTGTCATTTTGAGTATACACAAATATTTTATGAAATTTGGAACGTAGGTCCTCCTAGTGCCGATAGCTTATCCCATCTCCAAGTAATCGATAAAAAATTATATCGAAATCCTGTTTTTTGAGCAAATCCCTTAGGTTTTAAGAGCTAGAGTAACAAAATTTGACATGTATTTGAATAGTATACATATATCTAGTATCTTTCATTTTATAACAGTAAATAAATACACCACTTTGAACTAACCACCAATTTAAGCCACAATTTAAATTCAATTGTCTTTTTGAGAATATACGATTATAGTATAACACAATAAGATCTACTATTAAAAAATTCAGGATCGATTAGGAAAAACAGAAGTTATTAAAGAAAGCGTGTTTGCGTCAGCTAACGCAAATTGCAAGAATTTATGTATACATGAACACACACTTTCATGCGCGTCTTTTTCGGAATTCTATCAACAGCATTGTAATTGCGATTGTATGGTAGTCTCTGCTGTGTGTATGTGCTGATATTTCAATTCGTGTTTTTCTTGTCAAGAATGAATTTTGGGTATAGCTGTTGAGTAGACGCGGTGGCAGGTAGTGTTGTCTGTTTCGAGTTAAGTCCTAAGAAGCTTTGAAAACAACTGAGTAGAATCATGTGCCAATCTGAAATAATTTAACTAATATTTACCATGACACTACCATCAGGAGTTTCAATAAAGTTTAGTATCAAATGGTTTCGAAGAGAACAAATGAGGCGCATCGACGGTTAAATATGGCGCTTCTTTATTGACACAATATTTTATAGAAGCCCCACGGTTATTTGAGCCTCGGTCACAAAACAATTGCTCTTATATTAAGGCCTAAAGAATGAGAGGCTCTTCAGTTCATTTTAGCTTGTTGTTTATTTATTCACAGAGGTCGCAAAAACAAGTCAAAACTTATTTTCAATGCGGTCTGCACTCAAATAAACAGAAAAAACCGAAGCAGATTCGGTTTCGCTCTCCATCGAACACTTTATTTCGTTGCGCTTGTGTACCCTGTTCGTGATTTTGCTTGAGCAATGTCGCTGTTCTGTCTAGCAGTAAGATCTTAACGGGACACATTCGGTCGGTCGCACAGAAAATGTGTGTCTGTCGAAGAGCAAAACGAAAAAAGTGGAAGCGAAAAGTGCCTTTTCTTGTTGTTTTCGTGTGACGATATCAATGAAAGCTAGAGCGAGAGAGAGAGAGATACAGTTGTGCATGTAGGCAAGCTATTTTTATACCCTAAACCCATTGAAAATGGGTAAAAAGGGTATAATGTATTTGTGCAAATGTATGTAACAGGCAGAAGGAAGCATCTCCGACCCCATAAAGTATATATATTCTTGATCAGCATTAATAGCCGAGTCGATCTAGCCATGTCCGTCTGTCTGTCCATCCGTCCGTCAGTATGTATGAACGCAAGGATCTCAGAACCTATAAGAGCTAGAGTCTTGAAAGTTTAGCTGTAGTTCCTCCTAGTCCCCGTGCAGATCGAGTTTGTTTCTGATAGTCGATAACTTGCCCCGTTTCCAAGTAATCGATAAAAATCGATATCGAAATCCTGTTTTTTGAGCAATTTTGCTAAATAATAAGAGCTAAAGTCACAAAACTTGACATGTTGCTTCTCGAATAGTATATATATATCAAGTATCTTTCATAGCTATCGTACCTTTCATAGGTAGCTATCGCCACCTCCCCGCTACCACCATAAAGCTATAAATCATGTTAGTAAACTAACTTGTATCGCCTAACTAATTAAGCCACAATTTAAATGCAATTGTCATTTTGAGAATACACAAATATTTTATGGTATAATAAGATCTTCTACTGAAAATTTCATCAAGATCGGTTAAGAAACACGAAGGAAATGTGTTTTGGCCTGCAAACACGTGCAGCAGCAAGCGCAAATTCCAAGGATTCTGTATACATGTACACACACACATTCATGCGCGTCTGCTTTGAATTCTATCAACAGCATTGCAATTGCGAATGTATGTATTGTTTTCTGTGCTGCTATTTGAATTCGTTTTTTTCTCATTAAGACTTAACTGTTGCTGTGGCTATTGAGTAGAAGCGGCGGAAAGCAGAGCGACTGGTTACGAGTTCGAACCTTGCCGAGGAAGCCAATTTTTTTTTTGGCTGGTGTAGCTGTTGATAGAGGCGGCAGCAATAAATGCGGTCAGTTGCGAGTTCAAACCCTGCCAAGGGAACATTTTGTTTTTTAATTTGTCTTTATTACTACTAAAGCGAACAGGGGCGTTGCGCGAGCTGCATTTGGTGTTGGAATAATAAGGTTCAGGGTATCTCCTAGTCGGGAGCTCCCGACTAGAACCTCTTACTTGTTTTACTTATGCCCTATGTTAATGCAAAAAAACTAGCTGGCAATATTTACTTAAAATTGTTATTCATCAAAATGGCGACGACATTTTATCAATATTTATATTTAATTCTTCCGATGATGGCCCCAAATGCAAGGTAGCTTAACATATAGATCAGGAATTATCAATCATTTTGCTTTTTACTTCAAGAAAATCGTCCAGCCAGTTTTCAAGAAATTCTCATTTTTCTATTTATGCTCTATGTTAATGCAAAAAACTAGCTGGCAATATTTACTTAACATTTTTATTCATCAAAATGGCGACAATATTTTATCAATATTTATATATAATTCCTCCGATAATGGCCCCAAATGCACGGTAGTTTATCATATAGACCGCGAATTATCAATCATTTTGCTTTTACATCAAGATAATCATCCAGCCAGTTTTTAAGAAATTCTTATTTTTCTATTTTTCATATTATACCCTATGTTAATGCAAAAAGACTATCTGGCAGTATTTACTTAACATTTTTTTTCTCTAAACCCATTGAAAATGGGCAAAAATGGTATAATGTATTTGTGCAAATGTATGTAACAGGCAGAAGGAAGCATCTCCGACCCATAAAGTACATTTATTCTTGATCAGCATCAACAGCCGAGTCGATTTAGCCCATGTCCGTCTGTCCGTATGTATGAACGCAAGGATCTCAGAACCTATAAGAGCTAGAGACTAGAAATTTTACTGTATGTCCTCCTAGTCCATGCGCAGATCGAGTTTGTTTCCGATAATCAATAACTTGTCCCGTTTTCAAGTAATCAATAAAAATCGATATCGAAATCCTGTTTTTAAGCAGTTTTGCTAAATGATAAGAGCTAGAGTCACCAAACTTGGCATGTAGCTTCTAGAATAGTATATATATGTCAAGTATTTTTATTTTGAAATAATGTTAGTAACCCAACTTTTATTGCCTATCTAATTAAGCCACAATTTAAATGAAATTGTCATTTTGAGAATACACGAATATATTATAGTACAATAAGATCTACTACTTAAAATTTCATCAAGATCGGTTAAGAAACACGAAAGAAAATGTGTTTTGGACTGCAAACACGTGCAGCACCAAGCGCAAATTCCAAGAATTTCTGTATACATGTACACACACATTCATGCGCGTCTTTAATTTCTATTAACATCATTGCAATTGCGATTGTATTGTTTTCTGTGCTGCTATTTTAATTAGCTTTTTCTCATTAAGATTTAATTATTGGTGTAGCTATTGAGTAGAAGCGGCGGAAAGCAGAGCGATTGGTTACGAGTTCGAACCTTGCCGAGGAAGCCAATTTTTTTTTTTTGGCTGGTGTAGCTGTTGATAGAGGCGGCAGCAATAAATGCGGTCAGTTGCGAGTTCAAACCCTGCCAAGGGAACTTTTTTTTTAAATTTATTTTTATTATTACTAAAGCAAACGAGCGCGTAGCGCAAGCTGCATTTGGTGTATATAAGAATAAGAGGAAACATATCCGAAAAAAACGACGAAAAGTGTCTGCTCGTGCCTAGGGTCTGCTGCGCAGAAACAGGACTTTGTATGTTTTCTTTCTCCCTTATTCATTCTGTCCCACAAAAACTGTTTTTTTGCAGACAACCCGAAAGTATTGACTATTATTTGTGACCTCTGTTTATTTATTTAGTAACTAATGCTAATAAGTAGATGTCAGGTTATCTTAAAAAAATAAATTAATTCGTTTTAAAGAAGGAATTCTTTAAGCTTATGTTAAGTTAAAGTACTATTGGCAGAAAAATCGAAATGCATTTCAGTTGGAAGATTGTTATAAAGCTTTAATGATCTATTCATAGGCTCGTTGCTTCTTTAAGCCGTTATATTTTCCCCCATAGAAAACGGCAAATGGTATCGCAAAAATCTGCTCGGCACATTAAAGGTAATGCGTGCTAGAAGGGACAGGCAGTAAATAATTTCTACAATTATATTGTTAAAAAAAAGCAGCGCTGCTTTCACTCATCTATCTTCTGTAAGGCGGTAAGTGGTCAGCTAAGTTCAACGGTAACTGATTATGTCTATACCATTCAGATAAGTTGTATAAGTCCTTCTACAAAACCGGTACATAATTTTATACGAAATGCGTTTTAACTTTAAAGCGAATAGTCTCAGTGGACGTAGCCAAATAACTTAAAACATATTTCCACTTGTCAATTAAAATTGTAAATTGACCTTGGCTTGCACAACGCAGGTGTTTTTTTTACACCATCTTCCGCAAACTTTTCAATTTATTCCCATCGTGAATTATATATCAGGCCTCTCTTAATAGATATGTCAACAAATAATAATACAGCTTACTTTTTTCATCCATTTATGAAAAAGTGTTCAGCGATGTGTTTTATAAACTCTGATTAAAGCCAAGAACCAAACATTTTACCCGGGCCCATCTAGCCAAAAACAATTTAGAAGGAAGATGCAGAACGGTTTGCATAAAATCTTATATTTTTCGAAGAATAGTGCGTGCTAGAAGAATTTTCTTGCTCTTCGCCAAGATTTATAATTTTTCAGCAACATTTCACAAACAGTATTTGATCTTTTAGATACGAATGGTTTCTTATCAAGTATTTCAAATGTATTTTTTTATTTTCCCTGCTTTCTTTTTATACTCTTGCAGAGGGTATTATAATTTTGAAAGAGAAGGAGACATCTCCGACCCCATAAAGTATTTATATTCTTGATCAGTATCAACAGCCTAGTCGATATAGCCATGTCTGTCTGTTTCTATGCGAGCTCTCAGTTTTAAAGCTATCGTTACGAAACCTTGCGGAAATTCCTCTTTCTGTTGCAAGCAGTACATATGTCGGAACCAGCTGGTTCGGACCACTATAGTATATCATATAACTGCCATAGGAACGATCGGTCGAAAAGTAGGTTCTTGTATGAACATCTTTTTTGTTTATCTAGATATCTTGACCAAACTCGGCATTTATTAGTTTTGCTATGCTCCTCATATATTTTCAAATCCTATCAACATCGGACCACAATATCATATAGCTGCCATAGGAACGATCGGTCGAAAATTAAGTTGTTGTATGGAAAACTTTTTTGTTTATCAAGATATCTTAACCATACTCGGCATTAATTATTTTCCCTGTGTTTCTTAGATACGAGTAAAGCGTTATAAACATTATGAAAAGGTTCGGCCAAAGATAGCCCTCTTTCTCGTTTTTTATTACTATCTTTCAAAATGTCTATCGCAGATAAACGCTTTGTCAATTTTTGTATTGGCAGATAATTCACATTTAGTAATCCATTGGCGACCAACGCAATTATTATAAGGAATCTTAAACAATTTCACAGTACCCCTGTCTCCCAATAGCTTCGCAAGCTTTTGCTTTTATCCTTCATTGGTGAGTTTTTTTTTATGTTAGATTAATGGCATGATTATGGCTCAATTTTCAGAAATTTTTTACAACCTTTTACCAATAACCATACAATACATAGATAGGTCAAACTGCAAAATAATCGAAACAAGAATATTTGATGCGAGTGAGCCCCATGAGTGCTTGCGACCACTTTGTTATGGCCAGAGAGAGTAAGACTGCTGAGAGTGGCAGCCGAACGCCGGCCTCGAGTGCCGAACGCTCAGTATGAAACCGCATCTCGCTTAGCGCAAAACTTCGCCGCGGCTGATGCTTTTTATTAATATATGTACATATCTTAATTTTAAATCCTTACATCCCAAAAACATGTGTGTATTCATGTGCGTAGAGTGCCTCGCAGTCTGTGCGCAGTTGTGTGCATTTCTTCTCCGTGCCTGTTCGAAGCAGATTGCATTGCAAATTTTTAGGATTTCTGAATTTCGAGCTCTACACACACAAATGTGTGTGAATGAGTAGATCGTGGGTGTAGAGCTCGAAATTCAAAGAAATTTTCATGCACACATGTCGACAAACCGACAATCGATTACCCTTGCAGAAATACGACTTAATTTTGTATTATTTTTTTTTTTTACAAAATAGGTCCCTACAGTAAAAAATAAAAATTAGAATATAAAATATAAATATTTCATTTAGGTCATTTAAGTTTTTATTAAATAAAAATAAATCGGATTCTTCTCATTATGTCTGACTGTGCCATTTGAATGTGTGTGGCTTTTGCTACCGCCAGCCCATTTAAGAAAAAAATCTACGCGACAAACGCCGCGATCTACTTGTGCGCACATCAACACAGCACAAACATATGTATGTTGGTAGTTCTCGGGGTTTTTGGAAAAGCTGTGCAGGGAGAATGAGATGCACACAATTATTATTTATTTATTATTTTATTTTATTGCCATTATAAAAATTTTGCGTTAAAGGGTTTTATGACGGGCAGTTAACGGGCAGAATGTCTAGCATACATTCGGATCCATATGATAATGAGCGACAACTGCGGCTTACCAATGTTTGTTGCCTGGTCACAGCTTTGTATGCATGTCTGCGCCTTTTGCGGCCGCAGGCATGGGTGCAAAAAAACCAGAGACGAAACTAGTCTATGGTTTGTAAGGAATTTAAAACGAGCCGTATCGACATTGTGCACTGAGCAAGCGTTTCCCCTAGTCGGGCACTCCCGACTAGAGCAGTCTTCTTTGTTTTACTTTGTTTGAAACATACGTTGGAATTCCTTCTCTTATGACTTTTTTATCCACAGCTTAAAATATCAGAGGAGCAAGTGCTTTTTTGTATAGACCGAATAAACGACTTGGAGCTGCAATTACAGAACATGGCGCAGTTATTGACCGACAAGGACGATAATATTGCTTGTCTACAGCGTGACAAATTAGAGTTACAGGAGTGTCTTCAAGAGACACGTGCCGAGCTACATAATGGTCGTGAAGTGCTCAACGCCTCCTTGGATTTCCTGGAAACTTCGCAGTCGGCCGATAGCATGAATACGACACCCGAAAATTTGGCTTGCTCCGTTATAGATAAACAATTGCGTGAGAAGGAAGAGGAAAATGACGAGCTGCGTAAGCTTTTAACAGCCATCGTGGAAGAAAAATCAAATATACTAAGGAAACTGTTAAGGATCATGCAACCCTTTCAAATGGAGATGCCAGCGTCCCCTGATGTTCCACAACTCTTGTGCTCAAATGAGCTTAGTGTAGACCAGTTGTCCATCCGCTATGAGAAAGAGCTGCAACGTGTAAGAGAACTGCAGGTTCAGTACTACACACTGAAGCAGCAAAATATGAAGTATGAAGAGTACATTCAAGAGCAAATAAGAAGCAAAGCAAAAATGCTTGATCGCGTGTTAGAAGAGAGTCAGTTAACTCTGCTATCTAGTATTGACAAGCTGCAGCAACGCGACAAGGAAATTGAGCACTTTGCCAACATTTGCCAGGAACTTGAAAAAAAAGATGAGCAACTTGCGCAGATGGGCTGCGAATTAATTCAACAATGCAGTCAAACTCGTATCCTAGAAGAACAAATCACGGGAGAAAGAGAATACTCATTCAGCCAACGAGTCAAGTTAAACTTGCAACAAGTGGTCATTGATTCTCAGAAAGATCAATTGTTTGAGCAGCGACAGCATCTAAACGACACTAAAGAGCAGATACAGTACTTAATAGACTTGGTAGGCGCTAAATTTGATCAGAATACAACTTCATCCGCTACCAGCGACAATCGCATGGTATTTATGAAAAATATGTTGATATGCTTGCTGACAAGAATATGCAACCAGGATAAGGATAAGAAGTCGGAAAACTTGCTGAATCAACACTGCCGCTTACAAACCAGCAGGTATCAAATGGATGTGTCGATTCAAAATCTTCCTAAGCAACAGCATAGTGCTGCATATAAAAATCAATTTCAGTTTGAGCAAGAACTAAAAACCATAACTGAAAAAGCAAAGCTACAGAATATAGATCAAACGCAGCTGATGCAACAACTGGAAGATGGGCGACATGAGCTTTGCAAGCAGAAGCTAGAGAAGGCACACATTGAACAGGAGCTGATGGCTTCCAATAAGAAGCAAAAACAGCTGGAACAGAAATTATTGGAACAAACGGAGCTGCTGCAAAAGGGCGAGTCCACCAGCCAGTCGCACCAAGATCAGATTATGATACAAGGACAACAGTTAGACAAACGGCAACGGGAACTTAATGCCTTACAGTATAAGCTGGAAGTGGCGGAACAGCAGGTAAAAGCGGCTGAGGCACAGTTGCTTAAGCAAGAATCCTTGCTAATACATATCAACAAACTACAGGATGCGGTAAAGGAGGAACAGCATAAAAATTTGAGTTTAAAACAGGAGCAAATACAGCAAATGGAGCACAGTCGGATTCTCGAAAAGGATTTTAAAGCGATTCAATACATGCTTGCAAAAAGGGAGGAGGAATTAGAGAAGAACAAAGTGCAGCTGGATTTAAGTACAAAGCGCTTGGAGAAAGTTGCCATTAAACTAGGGGAACAGCAAGCACTTTTATCTAAAACGCAACGCGAAATAACTCTGTCCAAACTGGAACAGAACGAACAAGCAGAGCTTATCAGAGCGTTGCAACATGACAAGGAGAGTCTGCAGTTGGAATTGCAAAAGAACAAGGAGCGTGCAAATCGTTCAGAGGAGGAGCAGGCTAGCTTGGCACATCAACGTGTTTTGGCGGAGGCAGCACGTGTTGCAACTTATGGACGGACTATAAAGCTCGAAAAAGATTGTAAAAAAACCAATAGCACCATAATACGGGATTTACAGCTGCAGGTGAAAGACGTCGAAAAGGAAAAAGTGAGTCTGATTCTTGAAGTTGGTGGCCTCAACTCGGAGATTGTGCAGCAGAAAAAACGTACAGCGGATTTAAGTGCCCAATTACAACAAGCAAACGAGACAATTGATGCAATGCGTAGCTCAATGCAAGCCAAGGAAAACAACGCTTGCAATGCTCAAGAGCTGGAGCTACTAAAACGTACACATATACAACAGTTGACTACAGTACAGGCACAGCAGGCGGAAGCGCTGCAGGAGCTCGACCGGACACAGTATGAACCAGATGATAAGATAAAGCAACTTAAATTAGAGAACAAGAAGTCAATAAGCCGTGAGTCTTATTATCAGCGCAAACTTAATATACCAAAAGATGAGCTAGAATACAGCAATGATGAAGTTAGCGATTCACATAGAAGCCATGATAAGCTGATTGGAACTTTGGAGAGTTGTAATTCTAGCCAACCACAGGAAACGCAGGAACAACTTGAGCATCTCCGAGCTAAAGCACACCAGCGTGAGATCGATTGTCAGATATTGCAGGCAAAGTATCGCGAAACAAAGGAAGAAATTAATCGCTGTGAGCAAAAGCTCAAGGACCAGCGTCTTGAGATGGAGGGGAAATTAGAAAAGATGAAATCTAAAATGGTAAGTGAACTTTGAGTGCATTGCTTATTATTTATTCCGTTCTGTTGCCTAACAGAACTTGCATGTACAATTGCTTCTAGGGTGCGTAAAAAGTATTGAAACTTAAATATTCAAAAGTTTTCAAATGTCTGTAACCAGTTATCAGTAATTGAACTGAACCGATTAAAAATGGTTAAAAGGGTTATAATGTATTTGTGCAAATGTTTGTAACAGGCAGAAGGAAGCATCTGCAACCCCATAAAGTATATATATTCTTGATCAGTATCAATAGCCGAGTCGATCTAGCAATGTCCGTATTTTTGAACGAAAGGATCTCAGAATCTATAAGAGCTAGAAATTTGGAACGTATTTCCTACTAGTGCCCGCGCAGAACGAGTTTGTTTCTGATAGCCTCGAAGTAATCGATAAACATTTATATCGAAATCCAGTTTGTAAGTTATAAGACCTAAAGTCACCAAACCTGCCATGTAGCTTCTAGAAATGTATATATATATCAAGTATCTTTCATTTTATAGCTATCGCCACCTCCCCGCTACCACCACTTAGCTATAAATCAATATAATAAACCAACTTCTATTGTCTACCAATTTAAGCCACACTTTTAATGCAATTGAATTTTTGAGAATGTACTTGGTTTGTATATACTATACGCAAATTTACATATCAAAATTGGTGACGCTAGCTCATATCATATAACCTTAAATATCCATCTCTTCTGTACCCCTCCCTCAACATAATATTTTGGTTTATAGACCCACGCTTTGAATCATAAAATAGGGTCTATTATGGATTCTAGAATGCTTAAAGATGCACTTATGCACATCACACAAACTTCCTTTTATACCATGGATTCTAAATGGGTAAAACGGGTATAATGTATTTGTGCATATGTATGTAAAAGGCAGAAGGAAGTATCTCCGACCCCATCAAGTATATATTTATATATTATATAAAAAGTAGATCGTAAAATGCCTTGATTGTTATATGTGGTGTCGTGAACAGTGAGAGGCAGAAAGAGTAAGAAAGGAGAAATTGACGAAATTTTGTTTTTTATGAAGTGTCTGAAGGGGGAGGCGCAAACACACTTGCGCACGCGCGTACGCCACATAAGACACTTCAGTGGTTTTTTTCTACTCAATGATCATCGAAAAATTTGTGAGAAAATGCATTGCGTAGAAAAACAAACATTTGCCTTACGGCTTTGCAGATATGTGCGAATAGAGTTGCTCGTAAATGCTGAGTTTGATGGAAAACGGAATATTTTGACATTTTTCGACCGATTATTTCTATCGAGCTAGATAATATAGTAGGGCAATCTTGATAAGATTAAGCTTGTATGTAAGCAACATAGTCAAGATATCTTAATAAACAAAAATGTTTTGAATACAAGAAGTTAATACTCGGCCAACCTGCTTGCAACTGAAAGACGGAACTATGCAAAGTTTCACATTTAATGAACAAATTATAGTACCGTTTACAAGCGTATCTAAAAACAGAAAACCACTTCTATTATATGTACGCCTTTTTCTACAAGAGAAGTCACCGTCTGAAAATCTTTACATTACACATTGCCCGTTGCTGTTGTCAGCTGCATCGCATAATTTGGTCTTCGACCCAGGGGATCTTCAGATCTCTGTGGAGAACGCTGTTGCGCACGTAGTATGGAGCTCCTGCTATCCGGCTAACTGGGGACCTGACGCTGACCATTGCGCAGACGTCGTCGCCATATGAGGCCATTAGAAGTGTGCGCGAAGGCAGTCCGAGGGCATGGGCGTCTGGGACTAGGGGACTGCTCCGCCCTTACTTTCACCCTGAAAGAACGACCCGCCAAGTAGGATCGGATCAGGGTGAAGTAGGGCGAGGGCAGTCCGCGTTTCAGTTCTGCCAGCAGCCCTAGGTGCCAGATACGGTCAAATGCATGGCTGACGTCGACAAAGGCCGCCACACAGTACAATTTTTTGTCAAATGCCACCAGAACATGGTTGACGACTCTGTGTGGCTGTTCCGTGGTTCCGTACCCAGCGCGAAAACCAAATTGGTGGTCTAGAATTAGGCACCGTGACCCTGTGCGACAAGTCTTTCCCAGACCTTAGATAGTGCAGGTAGGAGACTAATCTCCCGGTATGACTCGTTGTCGTCCTCCGGCTTTCCAGGCTTGAGAATCATGGTCACGATGGAAATTTTCCACGCTTCCGGAAAGTACTTCGCCCTCATTATGGCGTTGAACATTAAGACCAGGAAAAGGACAGCATTCTCAGGGGGCGCTTTTTATGTACGATTGCACACAAAGTTGTATCCCGTGGCTTTGTTTGGCTTCAGGCGTTGGAGCACACTTTCCACCTCCTCTCTGTTAAATGAAGTGGGTGGTGGGGGGGTGGGGGGGGAGTAAGGGTCTGTTTCTGAGGATGCAGGGGCTCTGGTCTCGGCAATCTCATCTTCTGTGGCGATTCTGAATGGCGTGAATCGCTTCTCGAGGTGAGCAGCAAAGGTTGCAGCCTGCTCTGCGTCCGAGCGGCACCAGGCGCCATTACTTCTTTTGAGGGGAGCCTGCCTCAAAGGTTGGTGTTTTGTGTCGCGTGCACACAGCAAGAACTCCGAATTTTGTTGGGACAACATGTTCATCAGCATGTTGTCAAAATGTCTTGCCCGTTGCATTTGTAGCTCCCGATGCAGTTCGTTAGCGATTCTGCGCCAATTCGCCTTATCGGCGGGGTGCCTAGTGCGCGACCAGATCTTGCGTAGTCTTCTTTTTTCCCTTAGTAAGATTATCAGGTCCGGCGAGAGATTGTATATCCCGTCGCGGTGCCTGCATTGGCTGGGTAGTGGACGCTTGGCTTCAGCTGCTGCAGCCCGCACCTTTTCGGTGAATCCGTTGAGAGCAATATCCTGCAGAAGCTACATCCATATCCGGGTAGATGCTATCGTTTAGCTTGCGGCAGAAGACATTGATATTGGTTTGTCTGTCGATGATTCTTTCCAGCTTAGGGAAGTCTGCAAAATCGAGGCAAAAGGGACTGATGCCTGCCTGTGGTGGGAATCTCGTTGGACTGCCAGTGGATAAACATTCAAGTCGCGCGTCGTGCATGAACTCGGTGAGCTCACGTCCCCTGGCGTTGCTGCGACTCGCCCCCCAAAGCTAGTGGTGTGCGTTCCAATCACCGCCCAATAAGCACTTTGGATCGAGGGTACTGAAACGCTGACAGAGCTCATTGGCAGTCCATCTGAAGTCGAGCTGGCAATATATGGCCCCAAACTCGAGATACCACTGCGGATAAGAATTGCGCCGCCACCCCAGCGGGTGATTCGCTGGGTAGGAGTATCCAAAAAATTAAATATTAATTAAAAAAAATATTTTTATGTGTTTAAGGAGTAACAATAATTAACAAAATTACGTATCTAAGAGACCGGAAAGTATCGTGCTTCATTCACAATTGATTACTTCGTTAAAATAAGCCAATCGGTTAAAAAATTATTGCCAGTTTTACCCTGTTAACACACATTTGAATACCATATTTATGCCCTTAAAATTTCTTGAAGATCGAACAACAAAATCAACATTAGATTTCCAATGGTGTGGTACAGGCGGAAAGAGCTATCGCTGCTGTTAGTTGCGCAGTTGGCCACACACGAGCTTGTGTATTCTGCACAAGTGGATCTATAAGTACCTGCATAACTTATAATTCATATTGGGCTTTATTTTATGATTTGAAGAATTCGAAGCGTGGTGCTTAAAACCATAATATATTGACTGGGGGATTGGGCGTGTTTACTTCTTCTGTTCTGCTGTATGTGTTTGTGTTGCTAGTGCTTCTTCTAATGTTTCTGCAATCATCAACTGAGATTTTTATGCGATGCTTCCTCTGTTTTTCTACACAATATTAAATATCCAAATAAGTAAATTAATTTGATTTTAACCATATGGAATTTAAAACAAATTTTATTTGATTTCTCTTCTTTTCCTACACCACCAAATATATCACTTACTATCTCTACCGCTTACTTCGCATACTTACGTGATCAAAAAACACAAATTCCTAAAAATGCAAGTCAAAAAGTCTTGTATCGTTAGATTTGCATAAGCCAAGAAAATATGAGAAACCCACACAAACACATACAAACGAAAAGTTAATTTCTCCAGAAGGAACTGCGAGTTTGCGTAGTGGTGGGCACTGTTCCATTATATTTTTCAAGTTATTAATTATGTTGGTGCTGTTCCTAGGGGCAATCTATATGACACTTTTGAGCAACAATGTTGTTATTAATTTAAAATCTCGAAAACCAATTGAATTTTAAGTGAAAAAGCCATAGCGCCAATAAAACAAATGTTTTTAACTGTAATTTGAATGTTTGCGTATTTTTATAGCTTAAATATTTAAATATTATATTGCATAAAAGTCGAGCGTTAGAAATTGGGTGCTCAATAAATTGATAAATTACAATGTTAGTGTTGTGAAGATGGCGTTTACTGCAAATTTGATGGTTAACGATGTTATTATCGTTTTCGGCTAGTTTTTGTGCTCGATGTGGTTTGCCCTTTGCTTTTACTTATTACTCACTTCTTACCTCTTACTGCTCACCACTAACCCCTCTATCCTGTTATGTCCCAATCCACATAACCTGCAACATATAGCGCGCATTGTACACGGCGGAAGTTACTCGAATTAAGGAGAAGCAGGAGCGCGATGCGGCCAGTAATAAGGTTAAAATGGAAAAATTCAGTGTTCAGGTAAGGGGCATACAATCTAACCAACTGAGTATATAAAACTGTGTCTTAAATGAATATATTTCTATTAATACATCAAATAATTTGCTTGGACTGACTGACTTTATTTGAAAGTGTCTTATTTTTATATTATTATAAAAAAATGCTATCCACTTTACAGAGTGCTAAGTATGAGGAACATACTCAAAAGCTATCTAATCAGATTGTGCGCCTCAATGAAAAGATTTTAGAGCAGCAAAAGCAGCTTACCATTTTTAGTACCAAGCTGCGGCACAGTCATGAAGCCGACCAGGCAACGACTGCTTTCGCGGCTAGTGATGAATGGCAACCCTTTAAGCGACCTAGTGTGCCACCTACCAATCTTGGCAGCAATCTGGCAATGGAAGATGAAGAGGGTGAGGTGTTTAATAACACTTACCTTACAGATCTGAAGCTGGGCAGTGTGCCAAACATGACGTACGTTAATTACTCAATTATAAAAACTATTGACCGCTAATATTTGAAAAATTTGCTTTCACCCAAAGCGCTAAAGAATTGCATCATCGCAATTCGTTGCAACCACCACATTTAAAGAGCGCATACGCAGCGCAGTATAACTTGGACGCCCATGATGACGATCTCAAAGTAAGTTTGGACATCCGTTACCACCAAGACCAAGCGCCAAATAAGTTTCGTTACTTAATATTTCATGCAGCTTATACCCTGAACCATTTGAACATAGGTAAAAAGATTGTAATGGTGTTGTTCAAATGTATATATGAGGCATCTCTGCTGCTAAAAATGATATCGATATTCTGATTTTTGAGCATATCTCGGAGTTTATAAAGGCTAAATGCAACAAATTTGACTCATGTATACATAGATTAAGAATATTTCAGTTCATGTATGAGATATATTATGATCTTTGGTATGTTTGTAAGGGCAACTCAGCGTTTGGTCCAGGGTATCTCCTACTCTGACCGTGCCGACAAGATTACTCTTCTCATTCTGGGTTGTATTTGTCGTTTTTCTTGTCTGTTTAGTATTTTATTTATTTGTTTAATTTCGATTATTACAATGTTTGTAACTTTCGACAGAATGGTCCACTTAGCTTAGATGACAGCATGAGTGCGTTATTAAGTACTACGGAAGGCAACGGTGCCGGAACACGTAAAAAGTCGATGGGTACTCACTACAAGCGCCCGGGTCCGCCAACACCCAGTAAAAATGGTGGTCGCCTGTCATTTGGCAGTACGGAGCCGCCGCGGGAAATATTACGGGAAACTTCTGACAACAATGGTATTGCTAAGACCCCTGCCCGCTTCAAGATCTTTGCATCACGTTTCAGCATAGGTACCAGTGGTATCGGTGGTGGGGGACATTGTCTGCCACGCGACGAGGTAAAAAGCAACCGAATCATATTTGTGTTTTTGCCGTCTCTTTTTTGTTTAGCTTGTAGAATATTCCCTGTGTTTACTGCCTGTCGTCATGCCTATTATCTGCGTCCTTGTTATATTGTGTACTCGTACCGCAATGGCCCATTAAACAAATAATATACTCCTTTTACAGCAACGGCGTCGACGTAAAAAAAAATTGTTTACAGGTATGCACCGCCGCATTCCGGTGATGCGACCAGCGAAATCTTTTTTCACTGCAACTCTGCGTAGGAGCTGCTCCTACTATGATCACCAGCAAGTGATCGCGCAATGGAATGCGGCATCAAAGGTCCAAGAGCTTCATGCGCCGGGCAAGATACAGCATATTTCTAACACAGCTTTATTAGCCATGAATAATAGCCACGACTGTAAGCCGAAAATATGTCATAGCCACTTAGTGACGACAACTAAGCCGACTATCAGTCTAGCATCCGTTAGTCAAAGTTTATTAAGTGGATGTAAGTCGAAAGACACTCCACACTCGTCTTTTTGCTTGCATGGTAGTAGTTCGCCTCCAAATTTGTCTACAACGACGGAGTTGGAATATAAGCGCATGCAGCAGCGGAGTAAAATAAAACAACAGCGTGAACGATGTTTTGATCAGTGGAGGCATTTGTCTGATTTACAGTCTAAAGAAAAAGAGGCAATGGATGATAATGCACCGTATTGCGGTAGACAAAATTAATTAATGTAATTATAACAATTAAAAAGTAACACGCCACTGCTGAAGGCGCTGGCTGACCATCATGGGGCGCTTAAGCGACAGAATTCGCCGAAACGTGTATTTGTTGCTCTTGTTCGCTGACTGCTTGTACAACAAAAAATAGTTAGGAGATATAAAGTATCTTGACAGCAGGCAGCGCGTCTCAAAACCACACATAAAATTTCTTTCAAAATTAAAGATTGATTTCAACTAATTCTTTTAATACAAACAACTTCCGTTGTCCTTTTTCAGAACTCGCCTCCCAAGCGACGCCTCAGTAACATGTTTAAACGCAAGTAGGTGTGTTTAACTCCAATAGACCAGCTGGTCTTACAGCAGCCATTGTAACCTTGTGTATTTTTTTGTATAATAAGATGTAAGTTTGGTTGTCTCAGCAGAGTGAAAAGTGCTATACACGAACGATTAGTGCTGTAACTATTTAATATATAAGTCAATTATTTACTAATTTCAAAGCTTTTTTGGCTTTAAACGTTTGTCTATGGTTCAACGTAATGACTTATCTCTTAAGAGTACCCACTTTATTGTAACATATGTTATAAAAATATTATAATGAACTTCGTTAAACAATGTACTAGCATATGAATTTTGTATGTATATGTATATTTATTATTTTGTCTATGGCTCAACCCAATCGACTTATCTCTTAAGAGTACCCACAATATTGCAACATATTCAAATATTCTAATGAATTTCGATAAATAATGTACTAGTATATGAATTTTGTATATATATATTTTGCCGGAACAAATGATGCGATAAGCCGACAATTTTTCTATTTTTTTTTTCACGCAACAATAAAGTTATAGATCATCAGATACTCGTATCAATAACGTCTACTGTATAATATAATGTATACCAGGGAAACCTGCGGCAGACACAATCGATGTTATTTGTAAAACTTTATTATTAGGTGACTAATGGCCTGATGATCTAATGATCTAAGCCTGAGATAAATCAAATCGCAATCCATTTAATGATTGAACTCTACTGGATAAAACATATAATTGGACGTCAGTGAAAGTATTCAAAAGCCTAATAGGAATCTTAATATGTGCCTGTTCCTCTCCTCTTGAGGCATTCGATTTAAGACTAACTAAACTAAACCGTTACTAAGTGAAATAAGAATATAAACAAATTGAATATCTCGAGGAAGGGCTTTCATATTTCGAAATAAAGTGACATAATAATAATAGTACAATTTCTGATGACGGTAAAGTGTGAGCCATGTGGACCAACTGGCAAGGTCAATCTAAAATTACCACATGACAAAATTGTGTTCCTCCATTTAAGCTACACCAAAACACCTACTACTAACCATCATGCATTTTCTTTATATCTGAAGATCGCATTGAAAGCGCAAAGACACAAAATGAATATCAGAAAGCAAGAAATACGTATATTTTAAAGCAACCGAAAATAGAACAATAATATGTCTTCAAGCGATAAGCATACAGTGATGGACTTAAAGCGAGAGGCATGATGAGATATAATATAATAATAATATAATACTTATAAAATATAATCTCTATATATAAAACTATTTGTCCTGACTGACTGACTGATTGGTGATCAACGCACAGCCCAAACCGTAAGAGCTAGGAAGCTGAAATTTTCACTGTATTTACCTTATGTGATGTAGGTGCACGTTAAGACGGGGTTTCGGGAAATTCCACCCGCAAGTGTGGAAAAATCGCGAAAAACGTTTGTATGTAACTTTTTATTTTACCATCCGAACGGCCTCAAACTTATTTTCAAAGATCTTTGCTCAAATTCATTTGAGGGGTGTTTCACACTTTTCGAAAAATCCGTTCCTCCTTGGTGGAAATGGAGGTCAAAGATTTTGTGGGTGACGTTTCGCGCTCAAATTCATTTCCAGAGATCTATAAGAAAAATAATTTGAGACGTGTTTCACACTTTTCGCAGAATTCAAACTTCTTCGGGGGGAATGCGATTAAAAGATTTCTTGGGCGAAGTTTTAAATTGTGTCCGATTTGCTTTAAACTTATTTTCAAAGCTCTACATAATGAATACGTATTTCAGCGATTTGTGAAATTCCACCCGCAACAATGGTAAATTGGCGGAAAATGGTTGTATGAAAGTTTTTTGTTTAACATCCAATCGGCCCCAAACTAATTTTCAAAGATCTATATTCAAATTCATTTGAGGGGTGTTTCACACTTTTTGAAAAATCCATCCCTCCTTGGTGCAAAAGGGGGTCGAAGATTTGGTGGTTGTTCAAATTTATTTCCAAAGATCTATAAGAAAAAGTTATTAGAGACGTGTTTCACAATTCTCGCAAAATCTAAACTCCTTCGGTGGAAAATGCATTTTTAAGATTTTTTCGGTGAATTTTAAGAGTTTTCCGATTTGCATAAAAGTTGTTTGATTCCCGTCCGATCAGTTTTAAAATCATTTTCAAAGCTTTTTTGATTTTATAACATACGTGCCACGGGCAAGGCCGGTTTATACCCGCTAGTATAATATAAGCATATATTATATATTGAAGCAATTTGGATTCTGCGAAAAGTGTGAAACACGTCTCAAATGATTTTTCATATAGATCTTTGGAAACGAATTTGAGCGCGAAACGTCACCACCAGATCTTTAAAAATAAGTTTGGGGCCGATCGGATCGTAAACAAAAAACTTTCATACCACCGTTTTCCGCCAATTTACCATTGTTGCGGGTGGAATTTCACAAATCGCTGAAATACGTATTCATTAAGTTCTTATGTAGAGCTTTGAAAATAAGTTTAAAGCAAATCGGACACAACTTAAAGCTTCGCCCAAAAAATCTTTAAATCGCATTCCCCCCGAAGAAGTTTGAATTCTGCGAAAAGTGTGAAACACGTCTCAAATTATTTTTCTTATAGATCTCTGGAACTGAATTTGAGCGCCAAACGTCACCCACAAAATCTTTGACCTCCATTTCCACCAAGGAGGAACGGATTTTCCTAAAAGTGTGAAACACCCCTCAAATGAATTTGAACAAAGATCTTTGAAAATAAGTTTGAGGCCGATCGGATGGTAAACAAAAAAGTTACATACACACGTTTTTCGCGATTTTTCCACACTTGCGGGTGGAATTTCCCGAAACCCCGTCTTAACGTGCACCTACATCCCATAAGGTAACTACAGTGAAAATTTCAGCTTCCTAGCTCTTACGGTTTGGGCTGTGCGTTGATCACCAATCAGTCAATCAGTCAGTCAGTCAGTCAGTCAGGACAAACAGTTTTATATATAGAGATATAATATATAATATATAATATATAATATATAATATATAATATATAATATATAATATATAATATATAATATATAATATATAATATATAATATATAATATATAATATATAATATATAATATATAATATATAATATATAATATATAATATATAATATATAATATATAATATATAATATATAATATATAATATATAATATATAATATATAATATATAATATATAATATATAATATATAATATATAATATATAATATATAATATATAATATATAATATATAATATATTATATATAATATATAATATATAATATATAATATATAATATATAATATATAATATATAATATATAATATATAATATATAATATACTAGCGGTTATAACCCGGCCTTGCCCGTGGCACGTATGTTATAAAATCAATGTTTTCAAAAAGCTTTGAAAATGATTTTGAAACTGATCGGACGGGAATCAAACAAACTTAAAATTCACCAAAAAAAACTTTGAAATGCAGTTTCCAACGAAGGCGTTTAGATTTTGCGAAAAATGTGAAACACGTCTCAAATGATTAATGATGATCCCTGTCGTCAGTGGTTTAGGCTCAATTCAACCCAAACCGAAAAAGCTAAAATTTTAAATTTTGTGGAGTGTATGTCAGAACCGGCTGGATCGGACCACTATATCATATAGCTGCCATAGGAACGATCGGTCGAAAAGTAGGTTCTTGTATGAACAACTTTTTTGTTTTTCAAGATATCTTAACCATACTCTACATTAACTATTTTCCCTGTGCTTCTTAGATACGGGCAAAGCACTATCAGCATTATGAAAAGGTTTGGTATTAAATCTTCTGCATGCCGAAAATAGCCCTTCTTTCTCGTTTTTCGTTAAAATTAAATTGTGGGTATAGCTTTTGAGTAGAGGCGGTGGCAGGTTGTGTGGTCTGTTTCGAGTTCAAGTCCTATTGAAGGAACTTTTGTTATATTCTGAACCCATTGAAAATGGGTAAAACGGGTATAATGTTTTTGTGCAAATGTATGTAACAGGCAGAAGGAAGCATCTCCGACCCCATAAAGTATATATATTCTTGATCAGCATCACAAGCCGAGTCTATCTGGCCATGTCCGTCTGTCTGTCCATCCGTCCGTCCGTATGTATGAACGCAAGGATTTCCGAAACTATTAAAGCTAGAGACTTGCAATTTTAAACGTATGTCTTCCTAGTGTCCGCGCAGTACGAGTTTGTTACCAATAATTGATAACTAGCCCCGTTTTCAAGTTCTCGATAAAACTCGATATCGAAATCCTGCAATTGACTTTTTGAGAATATACAAATATTCTATAACACAATAAGATCTACTGTTGAAAATTTCATTAAGATCGGTTAGAAACATAAAAGTTCTTAAAGAAAATATGTTTTGGCTGGCCACGAGTTTGGGCAGCAAACGTAAATTGCAAGAATTTCTGTATGCATATACACACACACATTCATGCGCGTCTTCATTGGATTCAATCAAGAGCATTGCAATTGCGATTGTATTGTTTTCTGTGCTGCTATCTTACTCCGTTTTTTCACCATTAAGACTCAATCATTGATGTGGCTGTTGAGTAGAGGCAGCGGCAAGGACAGTGGTCTGTTGCAAGTTCGAACACTACCGAAAGAACTATTTTTTTTAAAATTATTTTTATTACTGCTAAAGCAAATGAGCGCATAGCGCGAGCTGCATTTGGTGTTGGTAGAAGAGGGTTCAAGGTGTCCCCTAGTCGGGAACTCCCGAGCAGAGCCTTTTACTTGTTTATATTTAGTTTTATTAATGTTAAAGCAAAAGAGCTCGTAGCGCCAGGAGAAGAGGGTTTAGGATATCGTCTAGTCGGGACTAGGGCCTCTTACTCGTTTACTCTACAGGTTACCATTTGATAAAATTTTCAACAAACTTTAAGAATACATAAACTAAGAGGACAATCAGATGCAAGTATGGTTGCGGACGTCAAAATCAAGCTTCTGTCGTATAATAGTCTCCAATCATTTTCGCATGGAATAAACCAACTCTCGAGTCGTTTCCACCCCGCTATTTTGCCATTCTTCTTATAAACCCGTTTTTAGTTTCAGTTGGAAATGGTCCGTTTCCAGTTCCTTCCACAAATGTTCAATTGATCTGGAGATTGCACAAATGTTCAATTGGGGCTAGATCTGGAGATTGCGACATATGCGGCAAGACATGTGCCGTGTTATATCCTATCCACATTTCAACATCGTGAGCTGTATGCCTTGAAATGTTATCGTGTTTAAATGTAAAATGTGGTAAGTTTAGGTTTTGGGTGCTTTTGAGGTTCTCCTTTTATATGTTGAACAAATATTTATGATTTAAAATAACGGTATACAGCAACACTGTTCTTGCTAATAGCGTTGACAGATAGGTAGTAACAACAAGAAATAAATTCAAGTAAAAAACCAAATATGTAAATACTTTTGTGCCAGGAAATTATGCCATTTTTTTAAATTTATTTTATTTTATTTCCACAATTTAA